AGTTGTCGGTGGACGATGACAACGAAGAACTCGTCCAATAGCTTTTGGTTAGCTACATACTCGTCCGATGTCGTGCAGGGCAAAGGACTTTTTGCAGTTTCTTGAGCGTTTCCCTTGGCTTTTTTGTTATTTTCCAGCTATACAGAACCCCGCTACCATTTCAGAACGATTACCCAAATATCGTGCCTTACGCCTTTACCCAGAAAGGCAGCTTGATTTGGCGAGCATCATCTTCTTTAGTCGAACGACTGCACAGGCAAGACCGTGCCGTTACTGTTCACCGAAAAATCACTCGTCCAATCAACGAACTTGTGAGTATATTTTAAGCTTATCGCAGAGAGAAAGAAGAGGAAATGATCATTTTTGATGAAATGATAGTTTTTTTCATTTTCACGGTCCGGGATGTTAGCGCTCTCGTGCGATTTTCCCATAGGGAAATAATATCCGCCACGATGTTTCATCATCTGCACACATTTGTGACATTCTCGCTAAGCAGCCATTTTCTGGCTTTTCAATGCGATTGCAAGAACAGCACTTCTCTCGTGCAGGTCCTGCTCTTGTACTGCTTGTGCAGGTCAGCATTTTGAACCACGAATTACTTTGTTCTCGAGTAGAACCAAGCACATTCAACACCTTGAACGCCATGTGTTACGATTTTATTGCCTTTTCCGAACTCCGTTTCGTGTCCTCTACGATGATTTTGAAACAGCTGTTTTGGACAACTTTTTCCTGAATAGTCCTGTTCACATAAATTGTCTTTCGGAAATGTATTAGTCCTGGTTTGTAATGAGTTGAAACAGAATCAGCCGCTTTTCTCTCAACTCCCGTCGATCACTTCGCTAAACCCAGCTGTTGAAATGAGGGATACAAATTGCTATTACAACACAGGTTATTAGATTCGCTGTTCATCTACGAAGAAATATTTGCGTTATTCGTAACGAAACCAAGCTTACAAGAAGGCAATCGATCGCACGCATAATGTTTCTTACCAGTATGCCTGAAACACGTGTCCCTTTGGATTTGGGTGAAAAAAGCATTCGCAGATGTCCTTGCCTCCACACTATCAATGTTAGCTTTGGCTGTAAACAGCAATTTTCTGGCAGCATTACCATTGTGCTTCCATCATGGGTGGTTGGTTGCGCGGTCAAATTTTTCTCTTAAAAATCAATTTTCAATCCAGTTTCCATGCTTGATTGTTAATCAGCTTCATTTGAAAAATATGAAATACAGTTTTTCCGAGGCATGATTCTTGCGTGGAACTTTTTCAGTGGTCGAACTCGTGGCTGAGAGTGCAGACATGAGTCTAAAGTCCTATTCACTCGGTTATCTCCAACCTGCTGAATATATACAGAGTGTCCAATATAAACTTATTGAGGCGTTATTGCACCCGGGCGCGTATTTCGCACCTTTAACAATTTGTAGTATGTTTAGTATCCTGAAGAACTTCTCGAGAAGTGCGGAGGAGGCTGTGTGGTTACGGACTAAGGGGGCATCATCGTTGGAGGCTCTCCACCAGGCAGGATCGTATTTGGTCGCTGAGGAAGGGGGGCGTATTTGGTCCGAGAAAAACTTTTGATAGTTGTTATTTCTTCTTTCCTGGACGCCATAAATAGGTGGTGGTCGTAATTGCTCATTATTGGGAGGAGAGGGGTGTATCTGCCTTCTGACAGAAATCTGCGCCGTCGGGAAAAATTTTTTCCGTTGTTTTGTTGTTTTTCCGGTTTTTCCAGTTGTTTTAGCAGTTTTTCCTTCTTCCTGTTTCACTGTGCTGTATACCACCACCCCGCTTGACAGCTCAATCGCATCAGAGGAGGGAACTAGGGCGGACGTATCGAGGTACCTTTTGAGGGTCGTATGGGCTCGACCATAATCCGCGACTTAGAATGTGCCCTGTATGGACTCTTTTACGATCTTTAACGAGCTTCAATGTTCTTTGAAAGAGATTCTTGCCTTTTGGCCCATTGGAGGCCACATACATAAGCCCATGCGGAAAAAATGAAGTCACCGGGTTTTGAAATTCTTCCCCGCAATTTTTTCAATTTCGCAAAAGGGTCTACGATGTCTGTAACCGTTATAAATCCGTAGCTGTGACCCTTCTGGGTTTTTACAGGCTGTTCAGAAAATTCTCAAGAGTAGTACTGAGCACGAAACAGAAGACTGGCTACCCTCTAAGAGGCTATGTGGAGACCTCGTTTCCAAATATCCTATTTTTTTCTATTGCTCTATACTATTATTCGTTTCAAGAAGCTTTAGTGTTTAGCTTTAGAAGTGTTTTCTGGCAGTTTTTCTGCTTTGTTACTCTGTTTTTGGCCCCATCACATCTTCGCTTGTGGCTATGGAGTTAGACCTCAATAAGGATGGCAGACCTACTACAGTCTTGCTCGCTGCGGTCAATGGGGCGTGTCAAGGAGGCTGAGTTTGGCGCGCAGCGAAAGTTAGCGACAACAATTGGAGGAAAACGACTAATACGAACGACATGATAGCGCTGTCGCTTGTTGAAAAAAGGGAATGAGCGAGCTGGTTAATTCCCCATTCCTTCTGACACACTTCATTATCAGCGAACAAGCCCGTAAGCTGGTATACGAAGACCTGCCACATGCTTATACCGAATTGTAGGATTTATAGCCGCTTCAGGGCCGCCTGTTCCCTCATTTGTCGCTGCTCTGAACCCTTTCATTCAGTTCTATTATATGTTTACTTTTCAGAGATCTGTGTCTTTTCCGCTTTCTTCGCTGTTCACAATTACGATGCTGCTAATAAACCAGTAAATCATTTACGGATCTTTAAACATGAAAATCTCTTTCGAAGTTTATACTCATCTCAAAAGATCACTACGAATCTAGGGCTTAAGGCTCAACGTTACATGTCATATCTATTGTGAGGGGCAACCTTTTCCTTGGGAGCGTTCATAGTTCGCGACAGCAGCGGCGATCGTGGGATTGCAGCGATCGTAGCGATCGCCGCGTTCGTCAGTGTGCGCCAGAGCGCCCTATGCTATTACTTCGTCCGCTCGCTTTGGTATAAGGACATCTAACTTGTGAGACCATTTTTATTTTGATAATGGCTACTTAATGAAAACTTCGACTTTCCATTCTCAAGAGGATCCGGGATATGGAGAAAGGGATTTCATCTTTTTCGAGGTGGGACAAGGGCAACATCATTTCCTAGGTGAGCTTCTTTTCGTTTCTTTTGTCCTATTGTTTCAAGTTGTTTTAAAAAGTTCCTATTGGCTGAACTGCTCCAACTTCCCAAACATTTATAGTTTATAAGTCGAGTTCAAGCAACGAAAAAAAGAAACAGAAAGAAACTCACCTAGAAACCGAACCCAAATTCTTTTGTGCACCACTAGAGGAGGGGGGAGACTTTATAAGTTGATGTATAAACTCGAAGACTAAAAAAGAAACTATAAGAAACTCACCCTAAATGAAGCTCTCATGCTTTTTGCCCATATCAGTCCTGAATCAAAAAAGAAAACAGAAAAGAAAAGCCATTAAGGTGGGTCCATCTTTGTTGAGTCAAATCAAGCTTCAGTACCCGAGACAATCACAATTAAAGGCAGTTGGCACGATGGTTATCTACTTAGCCTAAAATGCTAGTAACCGCTGTATAGTGGGGAAGTGGCGAAAGAACGGAGTGAAGCGGTCAAAATCCTGCGAAAAAAACGCCTCCGTTCTCAGTGACTTGAAAATCGATTTCGGACGAGTTTCCCATAGGCATCTTGCTAATCACCGCTACCGAAGATTCGGCTGTATATGTCTACCCATGTATGCATGCAGCATCACGGCCGCTTCATACCAATGCCTTCGCTTCATAATTTGCTTAGCAAATGAATGAATACGAGCGTCAGGAACGGTCGTCCATTTGTGGGCGGGAGGGCGTGGCGGGCGTTTGGGACGTGAAGTTGTAGCTTGATAGGGCTCTTATAAGGGCACCTTCCTTGGGGAAACCGCTTTGCAGCGCGTATTGATCCTAGTCGCCTAGGGGGATTTATCGTGCCAACTGCCTTTAAACGAGTAGAAACACGAAACTGAGCCGATTCTCCCTAAAAACACTCGGAAGGGTCCAAGCAATAGCGTTGGCGCGCGCTTTGTCGCGTACCGACGATCGCTACGGTCGCCGCTGCAAAGTATGAAACTGTCTCAGAATTGCTCTGCAACCAATGCCAATCGAAGCTATAGTATGGTGCTAACTGCTCTGCGACACCATGCTTCCCCTGGGCGTCTGCGCTACGCTATAGCGTTAGCAACAGAGACAGAGCTCATCACCCGCTCTGTAGAACAAACGGAGGGTTGCGTATGTATGGCTGCTGGGGGAGGGAACTCTACAGTGCAGCAAAAAAATGGTTGTAGATGGCTCTCTTTCCACGTGCGCATTGCCCTTTTTTGGAGGAGCTGATTGCGGTCACATGAGAATCACCATGAGAGAAGACCGCCTCACCAACTGGTACGCCTGTGGGCAAATTCTGTAATTACGCTGATTTCTGGTAACTGGAGCACAGGAAAACTGGTCCATTATGTAGTTGTCATTAGGTCTGAGTGAAGTTTAGCTTTTACTTCCCGTAATGAATGACTTAGAGGCAGACTTCGCCAAAAGCCAGTGAAAAAAATCGTAGGTGGCATGGCTGAGAAACGAAATTGTACGTGCTACTTGGCTCGCTCATGAAGAAAAAAAATGAAGAAAGAGGGAAAGGCCCCACTCCTGAAAGCTCCAACTTAGGCCCCATTCGTGCCACGCCAAAAACAAACAATCCATGTGGATTTCGGGAGAGAGAGGGTAGAGAAATCAGCGAGAGAGCATACAAACGAGGGAGAGCATAGACAAGATATCTATCACAGTGGGCAGAGTCACCTGAGCAACCTTGCGCCTTGCCGCCGCTACCTTGCCACTTTCTGACGTGAGGCTTATACAAGGTTGTTCGTTGCAGTTCGCACTACCTGTCCAGGCGAAGAGTTTATGATAAGTGATTGTAGGCTCCGCTTCTAACGTGATCTTTCAGAGGAATGTCGTTTTTACCAGTAACTTGCAAGCCGATTCGATTGCTCTCCTTCATTTTCATAGTTCATGTCAACTTCGTTGCGTGTGATCAACTCTCCTTGGTGGTGGAGTCGTTCAATTTGCGTAGTCATCAGAGTACGGAAATCACTTGCAAACGGATCACTGAAATACTAGTAAGCTTTTGCCAGATAACGTAGACCGAATAAACTATATCTTGGTCTGAACTTCAATAATATTTGCAAGTTTTTTTTAGTTGAACAATCAACGCCTGAAAGAATATCACTGCATCGGAGGGACACATGCTACTTCCCGTGAGCCTGGCATGTGGATAATGGCCACGGTAGCTACCTTCCCTCTTTTCAGTAGCCATTTCTGATACCTTTTGCTTCAGGTGTATAAGTTACACAGGGACTATTTTCCAGAGCCCTCTAATGACTGTATCGGATAAGAAAATGCCTTTCGAAATTGTTTACAGCGAGAAAAGTATCTCGACGATCTTCGAATTGGGGGACGAAGTGAACCGACAACTGACATCTGAAGCCAGTATGAATTTTACACACGGTAGGTCTCTTATCTCAGGGCCAAGCATCCATTGAAGATTCCTCAACATGGGATCATATTCGGCTCATTGAAAAGAGGTCGCGTATGGAAGACTCATCAACAAAGCTAAGGCAATATGAGCACGGGATAGAGGTAAAAACCGGAGCTGTGAAGTGAGAGTGTGGAGACCCCTTTAGTTAGGTCCTAGGTTATACTGTTTACTTTCCAGGTGACACTGACATTGTGATAGGAGCTCTTTTCACCTCTTTTCAAAAACTCCCTGTGAGCGAAGCTCTCTTTTTAGAGGGCGACAATCTGCAAACAGACGATAGTTCCCTCTTTGCCAGGAAAAATCGTTAACGGTTCCCTGTAAAATTTGCTTTAATAAACGATTCTGAAGTGATTAGAAAGGAGAAACCTTCTACTCTTCAGCAGTAGTTTCCGTTGTGTCCTTAGACTTCATTGCCGCAATTAAGTTTTAAACAGTAATAATAATAATAAAAGTTGAACATTTTTGTGCTATGGTAAATCCATCGTGAATCAGGAAAAACCCCCAGCGGCGAATTTTTTGACTAATGGGCTTTTGCAAATGGTTTTACGGTCTTTATAAGTGTAAAACCTTCTACTTTTCAGCTATGGTTTCTTTTTTGCTCTAGATATTGTATTACTGACATGTTCAAGAGATTTTCAACATTAATTTTCGATGTAAGGCCTTGAAAGCCCCTTCAAGATTGCTTTAGCACATATCCTGTGGAATCTTCCGAGAGACCACGAATCGCAGTTATAGCTTCGTAAAATGTTGTTTCTTAACGAAGTAAAAGCATTTCAAGTAGCTTGAGGTAATACTCAGTGAAATAACGCACTCCGATGCCGAAACGCGACGTAGCTGAAAGAGAAGCAGCTGCACTATTTCTCTTCAAAGTTTGTTAGTTCATTCTCTTTCTCTTTTAGCGACAGGAGTGGAGGGGGGAGGGTCGCACACTCACTTTTGCAGGAGTGCGACGATCCATTTTCAGCAAGCTGCTGTTTGACCTTATTTTTTTCTCTCTCCTACAGTAGACAAGCCCCAAGGAGAAAAGAAGAGAAAGTTACGTAGTGGTTCGTCCTTCATTGTCTGGTCTCTCATCCACACGGGCAGTGTTTCGTCACTACATACTCGTTTCACAGCTACTTATTCGTGGCGTGGTAGTGATTCTCCCCATACGCTGTGCTCTCAGTCATCTGCCTATCGTCCTTTGAGTACAGAAAGGGGCGTCAGGGCAGCAGCGATGTGTTCCCTGTCCGACAGTCCTATTTTATACATAAGACTCTGCCTCTCTTCCGTCTGATCTTTCGCCATTCTCGTGGCCGCGCCTCTTGTTGGCCTCAGATATGGGCTTTAAACAAGTTTTATATGTGAATGAGATTTCAGACTTTTTACCCTTCTCCTTGTTACTGCTATCTTTTCAGAAAATTCAGACTTGAACGCTACTATGACCTACATACAATTCCGACCAGACAAATCATCTTCATGTTCCACAGGAATCTCCACTGGATTCATTATAGCTCTCATAGAGGTGTGAAATACTAGCAAGGGTCTTACTATGTTCACTCTGAGACTGCGTTCATACTTCGCGGCAGCGTCCACCAGCGTCTACCAACGTCCACCAGCAACTACTAGCGTTCCAAGCTCCCGAAAGTGGGAGCGACTAAGAACGTACAGATATCGATCGAGAGTTTGCCAGCGTCTACCAGCGTTTGCTAGCGTCCAACAGCGTCTACCAGCGTCCACCAGCGTTCACCAGCCACCGAGAGGGCGAGAGTATGGGAAGGCAGGAGGGCGGCAAACAAGTGCATTAGGCGTCGCGAAATTGCGGCGTCTGCAAAGGCACCGCACAACTTCAAAAGCTAGAATTATGCACAGTATACGGTGTACTGTAGTTGTGCGATGCTGTTGCACACGCCGCAACTTCACGACGCCTAACGCCCGGACTCTAGACCGATATCTGTGCTTTCCTACTAGCTGCCGCAACCGGAGCTGGGAACGCTGGTGCTTGTTGATGGACGCTGGTGGACGCTGCCGCAAAGCATAAACGCAGCCTCATTAAAGGCAATTGGCGCGATAAATCTCCCAAGAGACTAGGATCAATACTCCTGGCAGGTTAGCATTCCGCGACCCTGGGCAGGAGCTGCACAGCGGTTCCGAGGAAGGTGCCCTCATAAGGGTCTTATCAAGCCACAACTTTACGTCCCAAACGCCCACCACGCCCGCCCGCCCACAAATGGACGACCGTTCCTGACGCTCTAATCGATTCATTTGCTAAGCAAATTGTGAAGCGAAGGGATTGGTATGAAGCGGCCGTGATGCTCCATGTATACATAGGTACACATATGTAGACGTATCTCCGGTAGCCGTGATTGGCAAGATGCCTGCGGGAAACTCGTCCGAGATCAATTTTAAAATTGAGAACGAAAGCTTTTTCTTCGCAGGATTTTGACCGTTTCACTCCGTTCTTTCGCCATTCCCCCCTATATAGCGCCTACTAGCATTTTAGGCCAAGTAGGAAATCATCGTGCCAACTGCCTTTAGGTTATCTCAGGTAGAGTTCACAATAAAAATAGCTATTGTTAGGGTATTGCGCTTATAATCATTGGCAGCCATGCAGCTGTTCAGTTCTACGCCAAAAAACGTATTCAAATTCACAGTGTACCTGACAGGGACGGAGAGGAGGTGAGAAAATCTATCGTCGTTCTGTAACCATGATCCCATCCGAAAGTGCTTAACTATTTCAGAATCTTGGAATTAACGATGAGTAATTGGTTTCACTTTTGTTCGCTTCATGATTACTGGTATGAGCTGCGTTCTGTTGTTCGTGATGAACCTGTTCATTGTTCCGGGTTGTAAAATGTAAACTTCCCATTTCGAAACTTACAGTATTTCAACGTCGTGCCTCAGCGATCCAAGGACAGTCAGCGCACGAGCCACGATCACATCGTTTGAAAAGCGTCACCATTTCACGAGATCAAGTCCCACCGTACCTCAAGAGAGGATTTAGGTGTCTCTGATAGAGTGTCTAAGGCCAGGAAAGACAGACCATAGGAGGCTCAGGATAACTCAGAAACCGACGGCGCTGGTTATCGCTGACGTTAATCTACAGGTATTTTGTCTGAAACTAAGGGCTACGGGCAGGGCTCATCATGCGCTATGTTGAGCACTAGGGAGCAATTGTATTTGACTGTTGGAGATAGAGGAGGGATCGTATTCCGCCACGAGGAGAATGCTTTTTGATTGTCAACTTTTGCCGTTTTGTACGCCCCATATACCACCCCTCTCCTTGTTTGGCAAGGCAACGATCAGGTTGAAAAGGGGTCTTAAAAGAGGATCAAATTGAGATCACGAGGAAAAACTATTCCGCAAAAAAAACTTCGACAACGTGATGGCACTCCCGGATGACGTGATGGTGGCATCAAATGGCGATTGAAGGTGCACTCAAAATTCCTGACATGGTGTAGGCGTGGCTGCGTACCACAAAGTGGCAGCGGCCAAGGTTTTCGTGAGATATTTTGATCTTGTGACAGTTGTCATCATGTCTCTGTCCAACACGGAACAAAATGAGAATTGTCTCAAATTGGAGTATCCCACGACTAACCCATCCTATGCCATGACTTCTCCGTCAAGGAGCGTTGATAGGTCCATGCCCAGCGCCCAGTGATAGTAGCCTCAGGAACGGTGCATGCTCAGAACTCGCTGGAAAAGTAGACCAGAAATGACTTTTTTTCCTTCGGTGACGAGCAGGACTTCTCTCCCAGGGAGGAGCTAAGTTTAGGAGCGTGGTCTTTACAGCCTCCATATTCCAGTGATACCTTTTCAAGACTCGGGAAAAAAAACTGAAAATTTTTTAGAGATTTCATATGGTGAAGTTTATATTTGGCCTATTCAACAGTTCACTTAGTGTCGATATTCGACTATGTATGTAATCTTATAGGTCCATGTCTGCTGGTTTCTTGGCGCCTTACATTAATCACAGATTTCAGGCTGGGTTTTAACTATCATCGTTTCTTTGTTGATAGTCGACTGAATCGTAGTACTTCAGCTAGGACCTACCTATTCTTGATCACCTATAATTGACAGGTTATGTGATTTGTAAATATCTGCAGATATTATCGATTGTTGAGATTACTCCTTCTTTTAAGTTGAATACTTGAAATTTGTTTCTGAGTGTATGTTAGTGCTGAATAAATAGTGATATAGTTTGCCTTAATTGAAGGAAATGCTGCGTTTTCTTTGTTCAGGCCTTCCGATCACGGCGGCACGCAGAGAGCTGCTCACTCCTTGTGGCATTTCGAAGCTAGTAGTCTGATTGTGAGCTCACTGCAGCGCTTTGGTTTATACACACAACTAGCTACGTACAACAACAGCGGTGTCGTTTTCGCTGTCTTGGGCTGCATTTATACTTTGACAGCGTCCACCGTCGGCCATCAGCGTTTCGAGTGTCCGCCAGCGTCAGCGACTAGGAAAGTTGAGATCTCTATCTAGCGACAAGCGAATGGCAGCGTCTACCAACGTTCACTAGCTTAGGCCATCAACCACCACCTTCTTGAGGGACCGGGAGAATTTGGATATCGATGTAGCATTGCTATCTATCAAGTAGGAGTGTCTCACACTGCTGGTAGAGTAGAAGAAGTAGGAAAGAGCAGACAGCCAGGTTAGGCGTAGTGGAGTTGTGGAATGTGCAACCGCACCATACCACACGACACTCTACTCCCATTCGCTGGCAGACGCTAGTAGACGCTGCCTTTGTGTATTTTGCCGCCCCGTCGCGCGTGGCCATCTTAATACGCAGCAGCCTGTGGCTAAGCAGCAGATTCTATGTGGACTAGGAGCATCGTAGGGATTTGTGGCTGTTTTTGGTTACACATTGTCACCGCCATCTACAACTTCGAAACACCTTCATTTACTGGCGCGACGCCACACGCAACGCTCACCTGCGAATTACGATTGTCTTGCAACATGCACGGCGTTTGTGTCACCACTAATCCACGCTGAATAAGCGCCTCATTTTCATTGCCAGGCATTTTTTTCCGCGAGGGTTTTACTAAACATCTGATAATGACAGCGATTCATTGTATTGTACAAGCTTTGTCAGTGTACAATTGCAAAATCAATATAGCATTAGAAAACCGAAAACATTGCTGCGACATATGAAAATAATGTAACATAGACGCCAGACTTGTGGTAATGGGGGGGGGGGGAGAGTCGCTGGTCGCCAATATTGAAACCCAGATGGGCAGGACATATGTCCTTGCCGAGGCGTGTGTACCTTCTTAAAGTCAGCCCCGCGTTCAAGTAGTTCACCGTCATCCTTCCTTGTGTATGTAGTACAACCCCCAAGCTAGAGACTATCCCACTCTCGCGACTCCACAGCGAGCGAGGAGCGAGCTACAGCCGCTACATGTTCTAGTTCTAACGCCCGCTCAGTTGGACCGCCCACTTGCTAGATGCCCTCCAACGGAGGCCAGCTCAGTTGTTCTTTGTTGGGGAGGAATTGGACGTCCTTTTCGCTGACACCGCTCATGCCCATGAATGATGTTCTCGTTTATTACATTTCATTAATCAGGAGCACATACACTCAACTCCAACACATCTCGCAAGATAACGCTTAAAAATTACGAGCGAACCAATTTTCGTGGTGCAAAAGCTCGACGCTTTTCACTATACTAAAATATCCAATATACAACCCTAAATTCGGACGCCGGTTTTTTAAATGTTTCTTTTTCTTTTCAAGAGTTTTTCTCTCTGTTTTTGTTGTTTTTTGTATTCTTTTCTTCGCATTCAATAAATCCACTACTGGGAGACGGGATCAAGTGATTTGTGAGCCAGGGATTGCACAGAGACCGCAAGGAGGTGTGACTGTCAGGGCGCGATTTTGTCTAGGTGTTCTTGAGGACTGTTCTTGCTTTTTTCTTTTCTAGGGAATAACTTATCCGCTACTGTTTCATTATTGAACATCAACTATCTATGACACTTTTATCGGGAGCGGTCTTTAAAAGAATTACCACCAAATTTATCTCATCATCAAGGATTTGTGTTGAAGTTAGTTTAACGGGACGGATATATACGACGTGGAATAAAAGCTTTAAGAATTTTTTTCACACTGCTCTGGTCCCACCACAAGGTTGTTAGGTTGTAATCTTAATTCAAGACAAAGATTATGTAGTGGAAAGTGGCACGGTTCGAGGATCAAATTTCGGATCGGCTCTCCCCAAGCCAACCGAGCCCTCTTTCCTCCGTGTACCAAAAAAAAATTGAATGGTTAATTTGAATTGGTACCAGACTCGCTTGGTAGTGCAAGTACATCAATTTGTACATCTGCTGCCCCCCCCCACCCAAGTGGCCCACTATGACTCTGAATATATGTAGAATGCGTGGCGCAACCCTAAAAAGGATTGATCAATGGCTAAGAGTTCGAGTTAGACCATCTCGATAACCTTGGGTGCATTAGAAGAGTTCCTCGTGCAAAGCTGGGGAATTGCAACATAGACGAAGTTTTTCGCTCGGAGGCAATGAGTAAGATGGCTGGGGCGGACGGCTACAGCCAGCATCGTTGGTGCAAGCGCTGCCAGAAGGCGTTTGCAACACTCCACTCAGCCCTCCCACAAATGAAGTTGGCAGTAACGCTCGCCATCAGCCATCGTGCCAAGCATTGCACGTCATCATTGGGAATTCCCAACGGGGGTCTTATTCGCTGTAGGGGTCGCATTTGGTCTAATAAATTTTGTGATAGCTGATTTTTCATGGTTAAGGATGACGAAGGGGTGGGTCGTGTTGATCGTTGTTGGGAGGGAGGGGCGTGATCGTCTTTTCCTCGCACTTTCCGGTTTCACATGTCTCTCGACAGCTCGATCGTAACCGAGGAGAGAACTAGGGGTAGAGGGGGGGGGGTCGTATCAAGCCACCTTTCAAGGAGGGGCTGGTACGGATCCGACCAAAATCCCCAACAAATGATGTGCGCCGGAGCCAACTGCTCTTAAAGGTTGGCACGATAAATCCCCCAAGACGACTAGGATCAATACTCCTGGCAGGATAGAATACCGCGACCCTGGGCAGGCGCTGCATAGTGGTTTCCCAAAGGAAGGTGCCCTTCTAACAAGGGAATGGTTTGAAGTTCCCATGGAACTTTAAATGGAGACTTAGGTACATCGATAGAGTCTCGAAAGCTGATTACGAATATGCAGATCAAAAGTGCTACGGAGACCTCCCAGACGAGTTCTGAGCGGTCAAATTCTGCGAAAACTCGGTTTTGGCTCGTAAGCGCTGCTGATCGATCACGGAAATTGCGGCCGTGGTAACGGCCTCAATCCAGAGCCAAATGCTTGCATCCCGCTGGCGCGAAAACTTTTGCTTCGTCCTCTATAAGAGCTTTTAATCTAATTTTCGGGTCGGTCTAGAAGAGCAAGCAGATCAAGTAGATCAGTTATATGACGTAGTCGATCGAGTATGGATTTGGTAACTGTCTGCCCTCTCTGAACTCATTCCTTATCCGACAAGTCGAAGTTTTGGCCAGAAACTGATGACCGCAACAACGCGGAAGGCTACAAGGGTTTTCTCGTCACACGGATGTGATATCCGTGTTCAGAGGTCCAGTATACACCCACGAGCGAGTTTTTGGCCGAAACTTCGAACTGTCGAATGGGTAATGAGTTCAGAGAGGGCAGGTAGTGACCAAATCTGTACTCGATTGATTAGGTAACTTGCTTGATCTACTTGATCTACTTGCTCCGCCGAGCCGTAAACTCGGGAGAATTCCGAAAATTAG